CCTCCCCTCCTTTTCTCCCCACTCCCAGTCCCCAACAGGTCAAACGGTGTTCACCAACCTCCTCAGCTCTCTGCTAGACCTCACAGAATCCTCATTTGGCTTTATTGCTTCCCTCTGCCTCTTAGCTAAAAGCTCAACTCTCGCTGGAACCCTTCCACACCTCATGCCTGACAACGCAACTACACTACCCACACTGGTTCTTAAAGAGGCAGGGAATCCCACGCTGGCACTTAACCCATCTCAAAATCCACCTCGAAGCCCCACACTCGCACTTAACCCACCTCCAAACCCATCCGAAAGCCCTATATTGGCACTTAACCAGTCTCAGACCCCACCTCTCAACTCACCCCACAACCCGCCGCAAAGCTCCACACTCGCGCCTAACCCACCATCGCAGAACCAATTACACAACCCGCCGCAACCCTTCACGCTCGTGCCTAACCCACCTCACAACTCACCTCACAACTCACCCCACAACTCACCCCACAACTCACCTCACAACTCACCCCACAACTCACCCCACGACTCACCCCACAACTCACCCCACAACTCACCCCACAACTCACCCCATAACCCACCGCAAGGCTTCACGCTCGCACTTAGATCCCACGCCGTCAACAACATAGGCTGGACGGACCAGCTGCACGGAACCTTCCTGGACGCGTCCTCCTCGAGCGGGCTTCTGCTCTCCCCCCTGGATCCCACGGGTCTCTTTGGCCAGGTGGTGCTGAGAGGGAAGGCTGTGTGGCGCAACAAGGCTGTGCCAGCTGATTCTCTCCCCAAGGGCCATCCCAAGCTCTCATCAGCCCTGTGCCTGCCCTTAACGTGTGGTGAGTTTCTGATTGTTTCTTAAGTGTTTGTCGCCTCTCCCCCATTTGGGTCCTGATGTGGAGGAATGAGGCTGTGCCGGCTAGTTCTCTCCCCAAGGGCCATCCCAAGCTCTCGCCAGTCCTCTGCCCTGCCCTTAACGTGTGGTGAGTTTCTGCTTGTTTCCTGGGCGCTTGTCACCCCCTCTTTGGCCGGGCGCTGTTTAAAGAGGAGGCAGTGTGGAGGAACAATGCTGTGTCGCCCACTGCTCTTCCCAAGGGCCATCCCAAGCTCTCTGCTCTTCCGCCGTCTGCCTGCCCTTAACGTGTCGTGAGTTTCTGCTTTCTTCCTGACGGCTTGTCACCTCTCCCACGAAGCAGTGTCGGCTGATTCTCTGCCCAAGGGCCGAGCTCTCCTTTCCAACCCCTTCCTCCTCCCCTCTTCCCCCTTCTCCCCCGTTATCCCCGCTTCCACAGGCCCGTGTATCCTTGGTGTTGCGATGGTTGGTAACCGCATCGGTGGTTACAATTAGTTGCTGGTGCGGGCAGTGCAGCCTGTGACCAGCACTGCTACAACCACCCCCTCCCAACCATCATCAGCCCCTCCCTTCCCCCCACTCCTTCCCCCTGAGAGAAAGTATGTTTGAAGAGAAAAGGATGATTGGATTAAGGAAAGCAGGGGTATACATAGGTGGAGCTAGAAGGGGGGTTGGTTGGTGGGCTAGCCTAGGCTAGCATCATTGGTTCACCATTAAGTTGGGCTGGGAAATTATTGGTGGGGTCCAATAATGTTGGCCAAGTTGGAGTTGGGCCAACATTATTGGAGGGGACCAATAAATTTCCCAACCCAACCTTTAGGGTCCAATAATTTGGGTTCCAACCTCCAAATTGGGTTACCCCTGATTATACACCCAAAGTAAACTTGGGTGCCTATCACTAGCCCATCCTATAGCATATATGCAAGAGGAGGAGACTAACACCCCCCTCTTCTTTCCTTCCAGGCGCCTCAATAACCACCCTCCCCCCCTCCCTTACCCCCACTCCTTCCCTTCCACAGGCCCGTGCATTCTTGGTGTTGCGATGGTTGGTAACCGCATCGGTGGTTACAACCAATCCTAGGTGCGGGCGGTGCAGCCTGTGACCAGCATGGCTACAGCCGCGCTCCTCCCCCCCCCTAACCCGCACCCGTTTCCCTCTCTTTCTCGCTTCTACAGGCCCCTGTGTTCTCGGCGTTGCGATGGTCGGTAACCGCATCGGCGGTTACAACCAGTACTTGGTGCGGGCAGTGCAGCCTGTGACCAGCACCGCTGCTGCAACCACCCTCTCCGAATTCCCTCTGTCTTCCCTCAACTCCTTCTCCCTCGCTTTCCCCACTCTCTCTTCCCTTCCACAGGCCCCTGTATCCTTGGCATTGCCATGGTTGGTAACCGCATCGGCGGTTACAACCAGTCGCTGGTGCGGGCAGTGCAGCCGTTGACCAGCACTGCTGCTGCCTGCCTGTTCGCGCTGCACTGGCGGGCCGCAGGGGGGAGAAGACTGAGGAAGAAAATGGCTTCGGTGGGAGAGGTGAGAGGAGGAGGGGCAGGTGTGCGTGTGTGTGTGTGTGAGAGTGTTCCGGTGTGAGTGTGACCAGCACGGCTGCTGCCTGCCTGTTCGGGCTGCACTGGTGGGCTGCAGGGGGGAGAAGACTGAGGAAGAAAATGGCTTCAGTAGCCGAGGTGAGGGAAGGGGTATGAGACTACATGTGAAGGAGAGGGATTCTGCATGTAGCTGTGTGCGTGCCTGTGTGCAAGTGTGCGGGCAGTGCAGCCTGTGACCAGCACTGCTGCTGCCTGCCTGCCTGTTCGGGCTGCACTGGCGGGCTGCTGGGGGGAGGAGGCTCCGAAAGAAAATGGCTTCAGTGACCGAGGTGAGGGAAATGGACGGGTAGGTGTGCGGGTGTGAGTGAGTCCTTGGGTCTAAGTGGAACAAGCAGGTCTGCTGCCTGTGAACAAGCAGGGGAGAGGGAGAAAGAGTGCCTGACCTGTGCCTGTGCTTGTGAATTTTTTCTTTTCTTTACTTTTCTTTTCTCCCACCCCCCCCCACCCCTCCCTCTTAATCTCTCTCCCTCTTTACTTCTCACAGGTCGGCCGATTCGCATCAGTGCATCTGGGCGCATTGCTGGCATGGACGCTCCTGCTCTTGCCATGTTCGCCCTGCTAGCCCCCCGTTCACTCACCCCATGCCCTTGCCCTCACCCCACCCTTCTGCTCACAGGTTGGTCGGATCCGCATCAGTGCATCTGGTCGCTTTGCTGGCATGGACGCCCCTGCGCGAGCCATGTTCTCCCTGCTTCCCGCCTCCTCACACCCACTCACTCTCATGTCCCTTTTCGTGTCTCATTTCTCTCCTCCCCTCACAGGTCGGCCGAATTCGCATCAGTGCATCTGGCCGCATAGCCGGTATGGATGCTCCTGCGCGAGCCATGTTCGCCCTGCTGCCGCCGCTGCAGCAGCTGGAGAAGCGGGGGAAGAGAGACGGGGGGCAAGGAGAGGAGGCAGTGGGGGGGGATGAGGAGAGGAAGGAGAGAGATAAGGGGAAGGAGAGAGGACCTGAGGAGGAAGAAAAGGAGGATTCGGGGCCTTCACATGGATTTGGAAAACTGGTTGCAGCAGAGGGAGATAAGAGAGGGGAGGGAGTTGAGAGAGGAGAGGGTATAGAGAGAGAAGAGGGGGTAGATGGAGCAGAGGAAGCACAAAAACAGCAATGCTCACACAGTACAGGATCACATTATAACGAATCACAAGGGGAGGAGGCAATGGCGGCTGCATCACTCGGGCAGGAAGAACAAAAAGAGGCCAACTGTAGGGTGACTACCAACACTACCCCACATTCCAAACCCTGTCGTCGGGACTACCCCCCAGTACCCATCCTCGTTAAAGACCTCTTCGTTAGAGTAGGTAAGACAGCAGGATCGGATCTGACTCCTATAGTGCTGCAGCAGTTGCTGAAAAAACAAGGGCAGAGGTCAGTGGGTGTGCAGAGAGGTGGAGGGCAGATTCTCCTGTATCTGGAACTAGAAGGAGAAGGAGAGGAGGCAGAGGGGGAGGCTGGAGGTGAGAGGGAGGAGGAGGAAGAGGAGTGGCGGCAGAGAGAGGGGAAGGTGGAGGAGGTGGAGGAGGTGGAGGAGGTGGAGGAGGAGAGAGATAGGGAAGGAAGAAGGCAGGAGGGGAGTGAGACGGTTGCAAGGGAATCGATGGAGGTTGGGGCCAAGGCTCAGTCTGAGGTTCGGGCCGAGGCTCAGGCCAAGGCTGGGACCAAGGCTGAGGGTGATTGGCGGAGGAGGCTGATGGCGAATTCGTGGGCGGAGCTGTGGGTTGGGCCTCGAGACAAGAGACGTGTGAGTAGTTCAACGCAAGAAGGAGCAGCATTGTCAGCAGGGGCAGGGGCAGGGGCAGGGGCAGGGGCAGGGGTAGGGGTACGGGCAAGGGCAGGGGCAGGGGCAGAGGCAGCAGCAGGGGTAGCAGGAGGGGGAGCGAGTGCATCCTCTGCTGCAGATTCGTCGACGGTTTCGGAGGGTAGCAGTAATAAATGCTCAGAGGCTCATGACCTGAGCAATTGCAGCAGCCATGGGCAAACGGCAGCTGGTGATGAGCATGGGGTGGTGATAAGCAGCAAAGGTGAACCGTTCGATCGTAAGACTTTCAGCAGCAGCAGCGGTGGTGGTGGTAACGGCCGTGGCAGAACTAGTCGGCCTAAGAAATCAACCATGTGTACAGTGCGAGTAAGCCTGCTAGCGAAGCAGCCTCGCACCCCTATAGATTATTGTATTTAATACACATGGTAATTATGTCAATAAAAGCAAGAGATCATTTTTCACTCAATTCGCCTAAGAAAAAAAGCACCTGCGTGACACTACCACATAATGCGCAATCTGCGATTTGGTTTTTTTGCTATTGCCTAAAGTGAAGAGGAAATTAGTAATGAAATAATGAAAACAAGTGTTGTTCACTACGCATATACCGGTAACGGTTGGAGGTTACTGGTTACTGGTGCAAAACCATGCTCTGGAACACCAGCGAGTATGGTACATTAACACCACTAGCAAGGTTAGAAGTTAGAAATCACCAAGGCAAGGCGGGTTGGCCCCCCTCTTTCTCCCAATGTTTCAAAGGGAGGGGGGCAGCAGCAACTAGGGGAGAATTTTGTGTGCTGCTACTGAGCTCGTGGCGGGAAGAACATGGTAAACTGCGTTGGGGAAGATGGGGGGAGGGGCAGCACAAAGGGGAGAGAGGGGTTGAGGTGAAAGGGGGGCAGACGAAAGGACGTGTGCTGCTACTGAGCTCGTGGTGGGAAGAACATGGTAAACTGCGGTGGGGAAGATGGGGGAAAGAAGTGGGGGATAGGGGTTATGGGCCTGACATAAAGTAGGGGGAAGAAGAGCATCTGTGCTGCTGCTGCTAGTGAGCTGGTAGTGGGAAGAACTTGGCAAACTGTCCTGCAATGGGGAAGAGGGGGAAAAAAAGTGGGGGATAGGGGTTATGGGCCTGACATGAAGTTGGGGGAAAAACGTCTGTGCTGCTGCTAGTGAGCTGGTAGCTGGTGGCGGGAAGAACATGGTAAAGTGCAGGCGGCAGAGGGGAAGAGAGGGAGCAGAAAAAAGGGAATGTTAAGAAATAGAGGGGGGGGGGGGAAGGGGAGGGGGAGGAGGGGGTGGATGGGAGGGAGGGTGGGGAGGTGGGGTTTCTGGGCTGATATGAGGTAGGGATAAGACACCTGCTGGGGAATGAGTCGATTCGCATTAAAGTTCATGCACACAGTTTCCCACACCTGTTATACCCCCGCCCTCCCATTCCTCCCACATCCCAAGCATCCATGCATGCATGCACACTGCACACCACACTTCATCACACTCACATCCTCATCACCCTCACATTCTCACCCTCATCACACACACTCACATCCTCGTCCTCATCACAGTCACATTTTCTTCCTCATCAGCCTCACATCCTCATCATCATCCTCCACCACCCTGCTGAGAATGAGCCTATCCGCGTTGAAGTTCATGGCAACGAATCCCACACCTGCCACACCTGCAATACCCACCTCCCATGCATATATACCCACGCACACCGCACACCACACATCGTACTCACATCCTCATCCTCGTCCTCCACTATCCCGCTGAGAATGAGCCTATCGGCGTTGAAGTTCATGGCTACGAAGCCCACCCACAGCACTCCTGAACACAGCATTATGAGCCCCATGCCCGCAAACAGCCCAACCTGAGAGGGGAGGATGGTTGAGAGTGGGAGGGGATGAAAGGCGAGGGGGGGAAAGGGAGGGCACTGAAAATGAGCCTATCCGCGTTGAAGTTCATGGCTACGAAGCCCACCCACAGCACTCCTGAGCACAGCCCATGCCCGCAAACAGCCCCACCTGAGGAAGGGGATGGGAGTTACTGAGTTACGGAGTGAGAGATTATTGGGGAGGTTAGGGGGGGTGATTAACTGATCTGAACACAGCATGATGAGCCCCATACCCGCAAACAGCCCCACCTGAGGAAGGGGGTGGGAGGGGATGGGACGGGAGGGAATGGATAAAAGCGGACGGGGGTGCATAAGGTGACTCAGCCGAGCCGAGTACAGCATGATGAGCCCCATGCCCGGAAAAAGCCCCACCTGAGAGAGGGGGAGGTGGGAGGGGAGAGGGGACGAGGGGATTGGATTGGGTTGGGTTGGGTTGGGTTGGATGAGATGAATCACACGAAGCCCACCCACAGCACTCCCGAGCACAGCATGATGAGCCCCATACCCGCAAACAGCCCCACCTGAGGAAGGGGGTGGGAGAGGATGGGAGGGGACGGGAGGGGACGGGAGGGGATGGATATAAGCGGACGGGGGTGGATAAGGTGATTCAGCCGAGCTGGGTGCAGCATGATGAGCCCCATGCCCGGAAAAAAACCCACCTGAGGGAGGGGATGGGAGGGAGGGAGTTACGAAGTGAGAGATGATTGGAGGGGTTGGGGCCCGCAAACAGCCCCACCTGAGAGGGGGAGTGGGAGGGGAGGGGGGAAAGGGCCAAACTGGATACCAGGCGTACATACACTTATTGGTAAGCACTATATAAAAGGAAAATCTAAATAGGAAGTATAATACTCGTGATGGAACACTACTGAAACAACACTCACTGGGACTGCCCCACTGCCTGTTGATTGCTCCCAGACTAGATATGAGCTGTAGCACACCGGTACAAGCGTGAAGCACCTGGGATAGGTTGGGATGGGGTGGAGTGTGGTGGGGTGGGGTGAGCTCGGTATGCTGGAAAGACGGAGCAAGGGTAGGCCCAAGAGCAGGCTCCCGGACTAAATACTAGCACACGGGCACAAGCGTGAAGCACCTGGGGTGAGGTGGGGTGGGATGGGTTGAGGTGAGGTGGGGAGTGGTGGGGTGGGGTGGGGTGGAGTGAGGTCAGGCGGGATGGAGTGGGGTGGGGTGGTTGGTGCCAGGCCCTGAGGGTTACCCCCAATTATAAGTGATGGCACATGACAGCACACCATGCAGCGTACGACGCCAGTGGATAGGGAGATCGACCATTGGTGTTGCTTCATAAACCCTTGCACATTGACAGATATGCAATGTAGCGTGGAGCGGTGTGTTGCGGTCTGGTGCGGTGTGGTGAGGTGCGGCTTACACTACAGCATGCGGCTTACAATGCCAAACAGTACCAGACAGATACCTCCCACTGGTGGTGCTTCACAAACGCCTTGAACATTGTTAGATACACGGTATGGTGTGGAGCGGTGCAGTGTGATGTGGCGTGGTGTGGGTCCAAGACTGTGCAGCTTACCACGCTAGGCAGTACCAGACGGACAACCCCCACCGGTGGTGCTTCACAAACGCCTTGCTCATTGATAGATACATCTTGTGGTGTGGTGCGGTGTGGTGCGGTGTGGTGCGGTGTGGTGTGATGTGCTGCAGTCCGATCCAACTCTACAGCATGCCAAGCTGCTTCCCGCGCCAGGCAGTACCAGACGGAGACCCCCCATCGGTGGTGCTTCACAAACGCCTTGCTCATTGATAGGTACGCCTTGTGCGTGGTGTGGTGTGGTGCAGTGAGGTGTAATGGTGGGCCCCTGAAACTTACCACGCTAGACAGTACCAGACGGAGACCCCCCCATTGGTGGTGCTTCACAAACGCCTTGCTCATTGATAGGTACGCCGTGTGATGTGGTGTGGTGAAATGTGGTGTGGTGTGGTGTGAGTTCAAAACTGTGCAGCTTACGACGCCAAAGAGACAATCACTTACCACGCTAGGCAGTACCAGATGGAGACCCCCCACCGGTGGTGCTTCACAAACGCCTTGCTCATCGATAGATATGCCTTGTGGGGCCCACGAACGGCCACCTGGGCGAAGCAAGCTGCTAGAAAGCAGCAGACTATGGCGGCAATCCCAAGGCCCACTGTTGGACCTGGGGAAACGCCGCAGGCGGCAGGCGTGGAGGTGCAATCCTCTGGTATATGGGGCTGGGAGGGGGAGAGGTGAGACAAAAAGGGGGAAGGTCTATATTTTAGGTGCCTCAAAAGCAGATGGCGGCAATCCCAAGGCCCACTGTAGGACACGGGGAAACGCTGCAGGCCGCAGGCGTGATGGTGCAGTCTTCAGGTATATGGGGCTTGGACGGGAAGAGGGGGGGACACGAGAGGGGAAGATACACAGTAACGGGTTGATTTTTAGTTGAGTCAAAGAACGCATGAGGAGCAACGGCGCATGTCCTCTGGAGGCATGCGTGGAGGTGCAGTACTCTGGTATATGGAGCTGGGAGGGGGATATGGGAGACATGGTAAAGGGGATGCTCGTAAAAATGGACTCAGATTACACCTGGGTAGCGGTGGGCATCATCAGTGGGGGGCAGTGGGTACTAGTACCGGTAGCATCCGTTATAAGAACACTCACCTTGGTGTGCTCGGCCACCATCATAAGAACGTAAGATGCGAATGCCGTACTTGCTACAACCACCGACCCGATAATTGTTTCCAACTGGCCCATGGCGAACAACTCTTGTTACGCTGCAACGCTGTTACATGTAGTGCAGATAAGATGCCGCTGGGCGGAAAAAATCAACCTAAATTCGAAGGAAAATCTTTTCCACTTGCTCCTTGCTGTCCTATTTTAAGCAAATTGATGGCTTGCCTGATAATGGACCTATATCGACGCCATAGCGCAATTGGCTAATCTACTGCAATGTAACTTATCTGCGGTTTTGATTGAACCTAACAGGTGTAACGGCATCACCGGCGGAAGGACCAGAAACTCGGCATAATTTACTGCCAATAATTAAGTCTCGTATATCGAACAATAAGAACGAAGCGGAATGGCGGTGCTATGTTCTACAGTTGAACTAAAAGCTTCAGCCTACGGTAGGTGCGCTCCGTTGGTGGCAATGCCACACGCTATGATCGTGCGCTTTGAGGATTAACATCTATTCAACCAAGCAGCGTGAAAGCTGCTCGCAGTGGTGTGGCAAGCACGCCTCAAGGTGCTACATCCACGATGATCGAGGAGTCACGTCGTTGCTAAAGTTCTTCCTTCTCTCTCCAGTCATCGACCCATTTCACCTAAGTCAGTCGCGGGGACCAAATGGAACTCCCATGTTCACGACGTTCGATCCTGACTCTGTTCTGAAATAGGAAGAAGTTTCAAAACGAAAACGCCCATAAATTAGAGGCGAGATGGTCTGAGTGGAGAGAGTTCAACGGCAAGCACGGTGAAGACAGGTGTGAAGACTAGGAGTTGAGGGGAGGGGAGGTGAGGAGCACAGGGGTTGACAAGACGAAGTTCACAGTGCTTTCAACCTCCTGCAACACCTACGGGGGTGTGGCAGCGCGTACGTGCACATTTCATTATTCGTGGCTCAGGAAGGTTCCACACGGTGGAAAGCGGTAACTATTCTTCACCGTTCCTCACCGCGGCGCAACGAAGAAGACCGCACATGGAGGTGGTTGGTCCGCAACCACAACCACCTACTGTTCCCCAGAAAACACATTTTGGCGGGAAGGGTAAATTGAGCCGTGAACGGGCATAACTGAACGACTGGATGTTTGAGGAATGTAAGTACAGTCTACACTGATGCTGTTTTACCCTGCTAATATCTTTTACGACTTTATAAATTGCAACTTGTTCTGAATCGCATTCCCTTACCCTGCTGCGAATCCGATAAAATGACTCCCTGTAAACCATGCCGCTTGGGCGCCTGAGTACCACTTAGAGCAACACCACCTCGCGTTCGTTAGAGCCTCTTAGAGTCCCATAATTCATTTCCCGTCGCAAGCCGCATCAGTATTCGTGGTAAGCACTGCAACACTCGCATCGACTGGTAGTCACAACGAATCCCACCAGAACCACCACGTGGCAGAGCCTGAATGGCTGCTGCCGCGGAGGCAGCCGTCGCAAGCAGCAGCAAACCCGGAGGTAGCAGCGGTGCGGAACCCGCGAATCTCTCCGGAAAACCCGGCCGGACGGACCGCGATCGCGATCGCGTGTACGACATTCCCTGGGTTGAGAAGTACCGGCCGCAGCGCGTGGAAGACATAGTGGGCAACGAAGACGCGGTTTCGAGACTCTGCGTGATCGCTCGCGATGGCAACATGCCGAATCTCATCTTCGCAGTATGTAAGGATACTATGTAAGGGAATTAAACAAGGCAAGACCACTAGCGCACACGTGGAAGACAGGGTATCCTTTTAATAGTTCGCATATACGCTGCTCAGGAGCTATTTTTGAGGCGCCTCCAAAACAGTATCCTTCCACTAGTTCGCGTATATGCTGTTCAGGAGCTAATCGCGTCTGTCGACCGCGGCACTGATGTGGTTCTGCTGTTCGTCGCGCCTCACCCGCCCGCCCGCACTTGCCTCTCGGTCTTTTTCCCGTCTTCTCCCTCCCAAGGTCCCCCAGGCACAGGCAGAACCACCAGCGTGCTGGCCCTGGCCCATGCACTCCTAGGCCCCAGCTACCATGACGCAGTTCTTGAGCTGAACGCAATGGACGACCGAGGCATCGATGTGGTTCCTCTGTTTCGTCTTCCCTGCCTGCCCAACCCTGCAGGGCCCTCCAGGCACGGGCAAGACAACAAGCGTGCTCGCTCTGGCCCATGCATACTAGGCCCCAGATACCGTGACGCAGTGATGGAGCTGAACGCATCTCACGACCGAGGCATCGATGTGGTTCCTCTGTTTCGTCTTCCCTGCCTGCCCAACCCTGCAGGGCCCTCCAGGCACGGGCAAGACAACAAGCGTGCTCGCTCTGGCCCATGCATACTAGGCCCCAGATACCGTGACGCAGTGATGGAGCTGAACGCATCTCACGACCGAGGCATCGATGTGGTTCCTCTGTTTCGTCTTCCCTGCCTGCCCAACCCTGCAGGGCCCTCCAGGCACGGGCAAGACAACAAGCGTGCTCGCTCTGGCCCATGCATACTAGGCCCCAGATACCGTGACGCAGTGATGGAGCTGAACGCATCTCACGACCGAGGCATCGATGTGGTTCCTCTGTTTCGTCTTCCCTGCCTGCCCAACCCTGCAGGGCCCTCCAGGCACGGGCAAGACAACAAGCGTGCTCGCTCTGGCCCATGCATACTAGGCCCCAGATACCGTGACGCAGTGATGGAGCTGAACGCATCTCACGACCGAGGCATCGATGTGGTTCCTCTGTTTCGTCTTCCCTGCCTGCCCAACCCTGCAGGGCCCTCCAGGCACGGGCAAGACAACAAGCGTCCTCGCCCTAGCACACGCACTGCTGGGTCCCAGCTACCGTGATGCTGTTTTGGAGCTGAACGCGTCTGACGATCGAGTCATCGACGTGGCCCCTCTGTTCCCCTCCCCCTAACCCCACAGGGTCCTCCTGGGACGGGCAAAACAACCAGCGTGCTCGCCCTGGCCCATGCACTACTGGGTCCCAGCTACCGTGATGCTGTTTTGGACCTGAACGCATCTGACGACCGAGGGATCGATGTGTTTTTGTTGTTCCTCTCCTCCCGATTCCGCAGGGCCCTCCAGGCACGGGCAAGACAACGAGCGTGCTCGCCCTAGCACACGCACTGCTGGGTCCCAGCTACCGTGATGCTGTTTTGGAGCTGAACGCGTCGGACGATCGAGGGATTGACGTGGTTCGCAACAAGATCAAGATGTTCGCCCAGAAGAAAGTCACCCTGCCGCCCGGGCGGCACAAGATCATCCTATTGGACGAAGCGGACAGGTGGGGCTGGAATTTCTAGTAGCAGCTACCGATAGCCAGCCAGTAGGTGTGGCCTTCCTGCTGCTGGTGTTCGCCCAGAAGAAGGTCACTCTGCCGCCCGGGCGGCACAAGATCAACCTCCTGGACGAGGCTGACAGGTGGGGCAGAGAGCTACTTAGTAGCACCTATAGATTATCAACGCTTGACTTCCTTTCCTATATTCTGCTGTAAGCTCGCTCGGAACAAGGTCACCCTGCCCTGCCGCCCACCCGGGCGGCAGAAAACCATCCTCCTGGACGAGAGGGCTGACAGGTGGGGCTGAGATTTGTTGCAGAGCATTTATCGGTATCTAGCGGTGTCTAATGGTATCTAACGGTATCTAGTGGTATCTAGCGCGGTATCTAGCGGTAGCCAAGGTGTGGACTTTCCAATGCTTATGCTCGCTCCGAAAAAAGTCACTCTTCTGCCTGGTTTTGAGTCGACTCAAAACGATGTTCGCTCTGTAAAAGGTCATTCTGCTGCACGGGCGGCACGAGATAATCCTCCTGGACGAAGCAGACAGGTGGGGCTGGGATTTGTAGTAGCAGCTACCGATAGCCAGCCAGTAGGTGTGGCCTTCCTGCTGCTGTCTGTTCGCTCAGAAGAAGGTCACTCTGCCGCCCGGGTGGCACAAGATCAACCTCCTGGACGAGGCTGACAGGTGGGGCTGAAATCTCTAGTAGCAGCTAGCGTCAGCCAAGGTGTGGGCTCCCAACTTGATTTCCTACTTCAGTTCGCTCTGATGCCTCCCTTCGTTTCCCCCCTTCTGTTGCTTTTTCTTTGCGGTTCGACTCAACTCATCCATCCCTCCCCATCCCCGTCCCCACCACCCCATACCAGCATGACAGCAGGGGCGCAGCAGGCACTGAGACGAACCATGGAGATCTACTCTTCCACCACTCGCTTCGCCCTCGCCTGCAATGTGTCCTCCAAGATCATCGAGCCCATTCAGAGCCGCTGCGCCGTCGTGAGATTCTCCCGCCTCACAGACGCCCAAGTGTTAGCCCGACTAATGCTGGTTGTTCAAGAAGAGAAGGTGAGGAAAGGGTGCGGCCTAAAAGCCTTCGTCTGATTTGTGCAAATCGCTTTTTGGAAGGTTCAGAAGTAAATTCTTTTCTCTCCCTCTCTCACAAGATCATCAAAGTGTTCTCTCCCACTCTCTCCATGGTGTTCTCTCACAAGATCACTTTTTGGAAGGTTCAGAAGTAAATTCTTTTTTTTTTTTTTTCGCGCCATGGTGCGATTCTCTCCCACTCTCTCAATAATCCTACTGTTGCCCAAGTGCCCGCCCAACTCAAGCTTTTCTATTCACACACTTGTGAATGAATGCATCAGCAGTAGGATCTAGTCGTCTTCACACACATGTGCGATTCTCCAGGCACCTAGATCGTACTGAGCCCATGTGCGTGCTCAACTCATTCTTCTTATTCACACATTGTTGACGCCCCGTTGTGAACCCACCAGGTGGCATACGTTCCAGAGGGGTTGGAAGCGATAGTGTTCACAGCGGATGGCGCCATGAGGCAAGGAATGTGTATAGAAGAGTCAAGGGCTGTTATCTCAAGATTGTTAAAAATGGACTTTGTGTGCGTCCCCTTGCGAATGAATGCTCCAGGTGGCGTACGTTCCAGAGGGGTTGGAAGCGATTGTATTCACAGCAGATGGCGACATGAGGCAGGGGCTGAACAACCTGCAGGCCACTGCCACTGGCTTCGGTTTAGTCAACGCCGATAATGTGTTCCGGGTATGTATGCTTCTAGCATTCACTTAGGCTGTTGGTAGCTTTATGAAACGGGAGTTCTCTCCCAGGTGTGCGACCAGCCCCTCCTACTGAAGGTAGCAGCGACAGTGAAGGCGTGTCTATCTGGCGACATTGACACTGCATGCGAGGGCATTGGGGACCTCTTTGCTCTGGGCCTTAGGGTTGACAGTCAAGCCAAAGCCAATCTCACCATCCCCTATGCATGTATCCCTGTCCTCTCCCAGGTGTGCGACCAGCCTCACCCACTGAAAGTAGCAGCAACAGTGAAGGCGTGTCTATCCGGTGACATTGACACTGCATGCGAGGGCATCCGGAGCCTCTTTGCCCTGGGCTACGCTGCTTCTGACATCATCACCACGCTCTTCAGAATAGTCAAGAACTACGACATGCCAGAATTCTTAAAACTTGAGTTTATCAGGGTAAGTCACACTGTCACACCGTGGGGAAGGGGTGGGTTCAAGGGTTGTGTATGCAGAGGTCTGTTCTCTGGCCTACGCTGCTTCTGACATCATCACGACACTCTTCAGAATAGTCAAGAACCACGACATGCCAGAATTCCTGAAGCTGGAGTTCATCAGGGGGAGTCGCGGGGTAAATATGGGTGCACGGGGGGTGAGTACGGTGCACAGGAGTGCGGATGGGTGCACAGGGGATCGGAGGGGATCGGAGGGGACTGTATGCTCTGGGCTACGCTGCATCTGACATCATCACGACGCTATTTAGAATAGTCAAGACCTACGACATGCCCGAGTTTCTAAAACTCGAGTTCATAAGAGTGAGTTGCCTACTGGGGGAGTGGAGTACACAGGGGGTGAGTACCTTGCATAGGGGGTCAGATGGGTTGACAGAGGTTCGGATGGGTTGACAGATGTATATGTGTAGTAATTAAAACTGCAATTTAAAGTGTTGCTGCTTTTCTGCCCTTCCTCTTCCTTATTCAGGACATTGGGTTCTGTCACATGCGGATTGCAGACGGAGTGGGGTCGGTGCTGCAATGCAATCATCAGGCTTGATGGCCAAGCTGTGCAAAATTGCCAGAAACACAGCCTTTACCCTCTCCCTTCTCTTCTAACTCCTGTCCTTCACCTTTTCCCCTTCTACCCACCTGATCTTTCAGGAGATTGGGTTCTGTCACATGCGGATAGCAGATGGAGTGGGGTCGGTGCTACAACTGTCGGGCTTGATGGCCAAGCTGTGCAAAACAGCCAGAAACGCTGCTCCCAAGTAGCTGAATGGTCACTCACTGGTGTATGTAGTGTATGTAGATGCAGCATCACACCACAAGCTTGCTGCTTACCGGTGCTACAAACAAAGCAACTAGTATCAGGGTTGATTTGATGGCTAAGCTGTGCAAAATGGTAGCCAGAAACGCTGCTCCCATGTAGATGAATGGACATTCACTCACTGGTGCATGAATATTCATTCACTTACTGCACCACAAGCTTGCTGGGATGGTGCTGCAAAGGCTCTGAAATAAAGCCAGTTTTCTGACAACTGCATGCTATGTTGAAAGACTAGTTAGTTGCTATTTTTCTTTTGTGGTTTTGAATCTACCAACTCGCGTAACATATATTTTTTACAGAACCCAAGGTACTGCAACATACAGTGGCACAGAGGCACATGCTAAAAACTGGAAATTAGCTCGTGACATGAACAATGGAAACAAACATTCGAATTGAACCCGATCCATCAATGTGCTGTGCAGTCATGACCTGCCGCAAGAAGTCTGCTGTCCCGAGTACCACCACTGCCATTTTCTCCAGTTACGGCTGCTTCTGGGTTTAGGGTCATTCATCAAACGGTACAGTGTCACAACCACCACCAGAATCACCACCACCGTCAGTTTTACGGTAAGGGGTAAGGGCTTAGGGTTCCAACCAAAACCACATCTGCCAGTGTAATCTGCTGCTATGATCCCTTATCCATTATCAGCTTCATCTCAACCTATCTCCCCACTCCCACCCCCTCCTCCCCCTCCGTCTCAACCATTCTGTGACTGTTACATGGCTAACATCGGGACTTCTTAATCAGATTCCTCCTTCTCCATCCCCATTTATTTTCTCCCCTCTACTACATGCCTAGTATCGGGATTTCTTATACGGCCCACCATCTTCATCCCCATACTCCTCGTCCTCCTCTCCCACCACCTCTCCTGCCGCCTCCCGTTTCTTTCGCTCGACAATCTTGTTAATCTGATTCAACTCATTGTTAAGCTTCTGCCGATCCTTCTCTGTCTCTTCCTCCTCTCTGCTACACAGCTAATATCGGGACTTCTTATAAGGCCCGCCATCCTCATCCCCATACTCCTCCTCCTCCTCTCCCACCACCTCTCCTGCCGCCTCCCTCTTTTTCCTTTCGATAATCTTGTTGATCTGGTTCAACTCATTGTTAAGCTTCTGCTGCTGATCCTTCTCTGTCTCTTCCTCCTCCTCTCTGCTACACAACTAATATCGGGACTTCTTATAAGGCCCGCCATCCTCATCCCCATACTCCTCCTCCTCCCCCACCACCTCTCCCGCAGCCTCCCTCTTTTTCCTCTCAATAATCTTGTTAATCTGGTTCAACTCATTGTTCAGCTTCTGCTGCCGATCCTTCTCCTTCTTCCGCCCCTTCCTCCCCTCGCCGTCCCGCCCCTGCTGCCCTGCCCCCCTGCCACCCCCCTTGCCCTTTTCTGCTGCCTCTCTGTCCCGTTCCCTGTCCTTAGAAGCACCAACACCATCATCATCCTCATCCTCATCATCATCCCCATGAAACATATCCTGCACCTGAGCCAACTGGAGGATAGGGACGGGATGAGGGAGGGGGGGGGAGGGAGGATGAAAGGGGATACGGCCTCTCTGTCCCGGTCCTTGTCCTTAGAAGCACCAACACCATCATCCTCATCATCATCGTTATCAACGTGAAACACATCAAGCCAGCTGGTCGAGAGGGATGGAGAGGAGGGTGTGGATGTTGGCAAGGGGGAAGAAGAGAGGATAAGGTCTACATGAAACACTGACCGACAGAGAATCCTTTTCGAAACACACACTTGCCTAGCCTCTTCCACTTTCCGGCCCAGCTCATCACCCTCCCTCATCACTCTCCATCCCATCACTCTCCACCACCTCTATGTGAAGCACTGATTAACCTCAACTGCGGAAGATACTCCCAAAGAGACTCTCACCTGCCTTGCTTCTTCCACTTTCCGAGTGAGCTCGTCTCCCTCCTCCTCATCACTCTCCACAACCTCTCAGAATCCAAACAAAGAGTTCAGACAGGAGTTTACTCAAGACACTCACCTGTCTTGCCTCTTCCACCTTCCGAGCCAGCTCATCTCCCTCCTCCTCATCACTCTCCACCACCTCCCCCGCAAAGTTCCCCCCATCCCCCCGCTGATAGCACTCGTCATATCCCCCTCCCCCCAACCCCCCCAACGCATTCGGATCCCTCCCCTTCTCCCTCCCCTCCCCCGCTCTCCCCCTCTCCTCCCTCCTCCTCGCCTCCTCTTCCTCCGGAGTGAATCTCTTAAACACCGTCGCCAGTCCCCGCCCTTTTTCCTCTTCTGTTAGGTAAGTGCTGGCAACACTGGGTTCAGTAGGGGCGAGAGCAGGAGGAAACGGAGGAGCTATAGCGGAAGCAGGAGGAGGAGGAGGAGGAGGAGGAAGATGGGAAGGGGGGTAAACTCCAGGGGGGAGAGGAGGAGGAGGTGGATATCCCCCCTCTCCTCCTCCCCCATATGGGTAATGTTGACTAGGAGGAGGAAGAGGAGGAGGGGGGACTAAGTTGGGATAGTGAGGGGCAGAATGGGGAAGAGGAGGAGGAGGAGGGGCAGGGGGGTACTGTTGGTGGTAGGGATAGGCGGATGATGGAGGGGGGGCTGGAGGGGGGACAGAGGGGGGCCAGGGAGTGAGGGCAGCGGGGGCGCCGGGAGGAGGAGGAAGAGGAGGAGGGGGTGGGTAGTCTTCCCATGAGCCGTCTGCTGGTGGGTAGGCTGGGCCGACCTGCAAGAAGGGGAGGAGAGACGGAAGCAGGGAGGGAAGCCAGTGAGTGTGAGAATGGGGAGCACAGGGAGGAGGAAGAAGACGAGGAGGGGGTGGGTAGTCTTTGCAAGAGCCGTCTGCTGGCGGGTAGGCTGGACCGACCTGGAATATGGGTGGGCGAGGGGAGGAGGAGGGGGCATGGCACTGTCATCATCGTCCATCTCCATTTCCGCATCAGCAGCAGCAACAGGGGGGAGCAGCAGCGGAGGAGGAGAGGGCAGAGAAGTATGACAAACGCGGAAAAAAGAAGTGTCCTTACCATGTCATGTGGGAGAGGCGGGGGAGGACGAGAGGGCAGAGAAGTATGACAAACGCGGAAAAAAGAAGTGTCCTTACCATGTCATGTGGGAGAGGCGGGGGAGGAGGAGAGGGCAGAGAAGTATGACAAACGCGGAAAAAAGAAGTGTCCTTACCATGTCATGTGGGAGAGGCGGGGGAGGAGGAGGCGGCATGACACCATCGTCATCGTCCATCTCCATATCCGCATCATCAGCAGCAGGAGGGAGCAGCAGCGGAGGAGCGGGCAGAGGAGCAGAGGAGGAGGGGAAGAAGGGGCAAAAGGTGGAGAGAAAACGAAAAAGAGAGTCTTACCATGTCATGTTCTAGAAGAGGCGGTGGAGGAGGCATGGCACCGTCATCATCATCCATCTCCATATCCGCATCATCAGCAGCGGCAGGAGGGAGCAGCGGAGGAGGAGGAGGCAGAGGAGCACGAGAGCGCAGAAGGCGGAGTAAAAAACGAAGGAAAAAAAGTGGTCTTACCATGTCATGTGGGAGCGACGGAGGAGGAGGCGGAGGCGGCATGGCGCCATCATCATCATCGTCCATCTCCATATCCGCATCATCAGCAGCGGCAGCAGGAGGGAGCAGCGGCGGAGGAGGGGGCAGAGGAGCAGAGGAGGAGGGGAAGGAGGGGCAAAGGTGGAGATTAAACGGAGAAGAGGGACTTACCATGTCATGTGGAAGTGGAGGCGGAGGAGGAGGCGGCATGGCGCCATCATCATCGTCCATCTCCATATCCGCATCATCAGCAGTGGCAGGCGGGAGCAGCGGCGGAGGAGAAGGTAAAGGAGCAACACCACCAGCAGCTGCTGTAGCAGCGGCAGCAGCAGCAGCATGTGCTACAGCGTCTGCGATACCACTCGGCACGTCAAAGTAAGCAGGGCGAGAAGCACTTGCAGCACCACCAGCAGCACCAGCAGCACCAGATACTCCTGTTGCCCCTGCGTCCCCAGCTGATTCTGCGGCAGCACCTGTGTCAGCAGCAGCAGGTGCACTAGGCTTAGCAGTCACGGTATAGTCCTTCCCCACACCTGCAAAAATATCCTCATCATCATCCTCCTCCTCTTCGTGCCTTTTCTTGTTAGTTGCTGCTACTGCTGCTGCTGCTGCTGCTGCTGCTGCTTCTGCGGCGGCGGCTTTTGCTGCTGCTGCCTCCTTCCTGTTCTTCCTGCCACTGCCGCTGCTGCCAGTCCCATTTGCCAAGCTCCCACTCCCACCACCATCACCAGCACCCGCGCCAGCAGCAGCACCAGCACCATTTTCAACGGCAGATTCGGTTCGGGTACGTGCAGCAGGTTGGGAGGATGGGAGGTCGGCTGAGGGCTGTGAGGGCTTGGGTGGAAGAATACCGGGAACCAGGACTGGAGAGGGAGGGAGGGAAGGAGGGAGAGAGTGAGGGAGAGAGTGGGGGAGAGAGGGAAGAAAGAGGGGGAGGGCACAAAAGATAACAAGAGGTCAGCAGCACCAGCAGCAGCACCACCACTTTCAACGGCCGATTCGGTTCGGAGGTGTGCAGGTTGGGAGGATGGGAGGTCGGCTGAGGGCTGCGAGGGCTTGGGAGGAAGAATACCGGGAACCAGGACTGGAGAGGGAGGGAGAGAGGGAGAGAGGGAGAGAGGGAGAGAGGGACGCAGAGGGGAGGGCACAAACAATTGCAAGAGGTCAGCTGGTGGCTCAGAGGGCTTGGGAGAAGGGATACCAGCAACATGGACACAGAGGTGGAACAAATGAGTAGTAGAGGAGGCGGGAGGAGGGAGAGAGGGGGAGGGAGAGGAGGAGACAGAGGAGATGAGAGAGGAGGCAATACCAGGGCATCACAAAGGAGGGTCGTCTAGTCTAGTACAGGGCATGCAAAATGGAGGGGGCGGCTAAGCCGAGAAAAAATCACGATTGTGCCAAGCTCGCTACTGTGTGAAAGAGCGACGACAATCTAAGCACTGGAGCAGGGTGGTCTTACCCCTGTTGCTGTCCTTGTCCTTCTTCTTCTTCTTGTGAGCCTATAATGTCATGTCGCCAAATTTAAGAGGAGAAAATTGGGTTTGGGGAGGGAAGGGAGTGAGGGAGGGATATGGTACTATGGAAAACAAGAGAAGCAATGGAAAAAAAAAAACAAACAAACAAACAAACAAACAAACAATTAAAAAACAAACGAACAAAACTGCTGCGCATGGTTTTTGAGAATTCTCGGAAACCACCTGCTGAAACTGAGAGAGGAGAGGGACGGTGGGAGTGGCCACACAAGCTGAACCGCATCTTACGTGCCTACATCGTCGTACACACCTATTTGAGAATTCTCAAAAGCGCTTATGAGAAGAAGACGCCTCACAAAACTCTTGCGTGCCTACATCGTCTTACATACCCCTACACATTTGCCCCGCACGCTCGTGCAATTTTGTACTGACTTTTGAGTCGACTCAAAAGTCTTTTGAGTCAACTCAAAAAAAAACCATCATACCTTTGCACTTGATCCCAATCGCAGGTAGGAGATGACGTGGGTGACTCTATCCAACACTGGGGCGTCTTGTGACGCGGATACCAGGTCCTGTGGAGTGAGTGGGAGGGTGGAAGTGGAGACAGGGAGGGAGGAACGCGGCACGGTTGAGTGAAGGGTAATCAAGACGCCTCACGAGACTCTATCCGACACTGGGGCGTCCTGTGACGCGGATACCAAGTCCTGTGGGGTGAGTGGGAGTGGATGGGAGGGAGAGGAGACAGGGGGTAAGGCAGCAAGGTTGAGGGAGGGCAAGGTTGAGGGAGGGAAAAGAGAAACAGAACACAGCAGCACATCGACATGCATGTGCGTGCATCCCAGCACACTAGCTCACCTGCGGAGCAGGGCAGTCGGCCTTGCTGCGGTGCACGGTGGTGGGGATCTCACTGCGGAACTCATCATCCATGTCAAAGACAAACAGAACAGAACAGCACACCTGCATGCATCTACACGCATCTACATGCATCTACATGCATGTGTGTGCATGTGTGTGCATCCCACCACACTTACTTACCTGGGGAGGCGGGCAGTCAGCCTTGCTTCGATGCACGGTGGTGGGGATTTCACTCCTAAACTCGTCATCCATGTCAAAGACAAACACAACAGTGCAACAGTGCATGTATCTACAGGCGTCTGGATGCATGCATGCACGCATGCATGCTTGCATCTGCTGCACGCCATGCTCTTTCACCCTCACCTGAGGAGGCGGGCAGTCGGCCTTGCTGCGGTGCACGGTGGTCGGGATTTCACTCCGAAACTCGTCATCCATGTCAAAGACAAACGACGTGCGGCCCGGCAGGAAGAACTCGTTCGGCTTGGCCGGCACCGGGCGGACTATCTGCTCGAACACCGACTGTGGGGGGGGAAAGAGGAGGGGGGTGGAAAGGGGTGAAATACTTTTGGGACTCGGGCTTTTGAGGAATGCTCACAACGGCTTGGGTGGCACCTGGCGGACTATCTGCTCGAACACCGACTGTGGGGGGGGAAAGAGGAGGGAAGCAGAAAGGGGTGGAGATACTTTTGAGACTCGGCCTTTTTAGGAATGCTCAGAAGTGGCTTGGGCGGCACTGGGCGGACTATCTGCTCAAATACCGACTGTGGGGGTGGGGGGGAGGTTGGGGGGAGAAGAGGGGGTTGGAGGAAGAGGCCGGGAAAATATTTTCCTCCCTGTTCCCACCCACTTTTAAGGCATCATAAATTTCGAAACGGCGAGACGGCGGGGAAATGAGTGACTTACTCGAGCAAGGGCCGAGCGGAATGTGGGCACTTTCTCCTGTGCTTTCCTGCGAAGTCAAGACAAATCAAGAGAGCACAGGCAGAGGCAGAGGCAGAGAATCAACATGGAGGATGCCGAAACGCGTGTGCTGATGAAGGCCGTTGTTGGCCGAAACGCGTTCACACGCGACATTCAGGCATAATGTGTCTGGCTTTCTGATTACTAGACCTTTTTCTTACAACTTCCCTCGCCTTTCAGATTAGAAGTCTAGTGCTATAGATCGCTACTCCTAGAAGGCTTGCTGCGTTTCGAACCCAACGAATTTCAACAGAGGCAGAGAATCAACATGGAGGATGCCTCTGCCTCTGCTCTCTTGATTCTCAAGAGAACAAAAGAACAAAAGAATCACTCCTGTGAGAGAAACAGCGCCCGCTGCTACTTTCACCAGAGTTAAAGTAGGTAAAGGAACAAGAACTACATGATTTTCACATCCCCATTCCCTCGCTCCATGCCCTCTTGAGTAAACACACGTCAGAGAAACTCAGACCACACACACCACATATCCCAACCACAACAAACAATCACACACACACAAACACACACACACACACACACACACACACACACACACACAGACGTGCCATACACGGCTCACTCCTCACGCCTCACCTGCCCTTGGCCTTCCCAGCCGCCGCAGCCGCAGCAGCAGCGCCCCCCTCATCCTCATCTTCCTCTGCCCCCTCCTCCTTCTCTCCCTCCCCTCCCTTCTCTCCCCCCCGGCCTTTCATCTCCGAGCGAACTTTGTTGAGAAGAGCATAGTCCAGCCCCTTCACCAGATGCGTGTGCTCCACGTCTCCTCCCAGAAACTTGGACTTCTCGATCGCTAGTTTATGTGCATCCGTGGTGCTGCAAGGAAAGATGGAGGAAGAGGGAGGAGGGGAGCGTGGGCGCAGGGAGAGAGGGGAAAGGGGGGCGGAGTGGAAGCGGGAGTTGGAGTGGGGAGGGGAGGGAAAGAAGCACTTTGTTGAGGAGAGCATAGTCCAGCCCCTTCACGAGATGCGTGTGCTCCACATCTCCTCCCAGGAACTTGGACTTCTCAATCGCTAATTTGTGCGCATCCGTGGTGCTGCAAGGAGAGGGAGGTGGGGGCCCATGGAAGGAAGGAGAGCGGGGACGGGGAGAGCGAGAAGGGGAGCCGGGAGGGAATAGGGGGAGTTGGAGTGAGGAGGAGGAGAAAGGGGCAATGCACTTTGTTGAGAAGAGCATAGTCCAGCCCCTTGACGAGATGCGTGTGCTCCACGTCTCCTCCCAGGAACTTGGACTTCTAATTGCTAGTTTATGTGCATCTGTGGTGCTGCAAGGAGGTTCGGGGTTTGGGTTCAGGTTGAAAATACAGGGTGCAAGAGGGACAACCTTCACCAGATGCGTGTGCTCCACGTCACCTCTCAAGAACCAACCTGTACTTCTCAAATGCAAGCTTAGGAGGGAAGTTCAGGGTTTAGGTCAGAGTTTAGAGGTTCACATTGTTACAGTTCAAGGACACATGGGGCATATACTAGGTTTAAGGAGGAGGGCATTGAAATGAGTTTCGTTCTTGGGACATTAGGGGCTTTGGGGGGGGACAAGCTCACGCCTCCTCCCGCCTCTCCCTCTCGTACAATACCCTTCACGTTAAGTCAACGCCAGGAGGAGCAACGGCATTCAGTTGCCCCAAATGACTCGGCACGGCTGCATCCTTGTAATCCGGATTCACCTCCTCGCGCCTCTCCTTCTCGCACCCTTCTGAGCCCTGACGCTGCTACTCTGACACTCTCCCTTACCCACGTACTCACGTCAAGTCCACGCCGGGAGAAGCGACAGCACTCAGCTGCCCCAGGTGGCTGGGCACGGCTGCATCCTTGTAATCCGGATTCACCTCCTCGCGCCTCTCCTTCTCATTCCTGCACATCTGCTACAAGACAACCTCCCTCTTGCCCTATTATCAGATATTGCCAAGGTAGGTACTCACGTTAAGTCAACGCCAGGGGGAGCAACGGCGTTCAGCTGCCCAAGGTCGCTGGGCACGGCTGTATCCTTGTAATCCGGATTCACTTCCTCCCGCCTCTCCTTCCATTTCTGCAAGAGCACAGCACATTACCCTCTCTATGTTCAAACCCTTCTCTTGCCCCATTACTCACGTCAAGTCCACCCCCGGTGGAGCAACAGCATTGAGCTGTCCCAGGTGGCTTGGCACGGCTGTATCCTTGTAGTCCGGATTCACCTCCTCCCGCCTCTCCTCATGCCTCTCGTTTTAGGGTGGTACTCTGTTTCCCTTGCCCCAATACTCACGTCAGGTCCACGCCAGGAGGAGCAACGGCATTCAGTTGCCCCAGGTGACTCGGCACGGTTGTATCCTTGTAATCCGGATTCACCTCCTCCCGCCTCTCCTTCGCTCTGTCCCTGTATTGCGGCTCCTCGCCCTCTTTACTGTCACCCCCCGCAGAGGCACCCTCTTCCCTGAGAAATGGTGAGGTGGGAAGGGGGAAGAGAAGAGGGAATAAGGGAGGGCAATAAGTGGTGTAGATGGGTTGAGACAGGTGGAGCTTTGTGGCGATAGGTGAGGGAATCATAAATTGGTAATATCCAGCAAGCATTAGCACCTGCGAACAAGGCATGACTCGCCGTTCCCGAATTACCTGCTCACCTTTTTCATTGGCAACGGCCTAAGTAGCCCTTAGGGTTATATTCCCCTGACAATACTCTGTCGGAACTTACCCTTTGCCTTTGCCATAGTACTTGCGCCTGGCGTCTGAATCAGGTGTGACACTTGGGTCGTTGAATCGCTTGCCGGAGGGAGACCAGCATAAAAGGGTAGATGGGGAAGGGAGACTAGAAGAACTTACCCTTTCCCTTTGCCGTAGTACTTGCGCCTGGCGTCTGAACCAGGAGTGGCACTTGGGTCGTTGAATCGCTTGCTGGGGAAAGACACAGTGGGGAAATGGGGAGGGAGGGAGGGAGAGGAGAGCTTTGAGTGGAATCAAGACGCGTCTGGACCAGAAGTGGCACTTGGGTCGTTAAATCGCTTGCTGGGGGAGGACCGGAGAAAGATGTGGGGGAGGAAGGGGGGGAAGAAGCGGGAAAGGTGTGACAGAGGGACTTGGGTTGGTAGGCGTTTTAGATTTGAACAGGATGAAAAAGTGGGGGGGGGTGTAACAGATTAGCTTGCGCCTGGCGTCTGAACTAGGAGTGGCACTTGGGTCGTTGAACCGCTTGCTGGTGGAGGGGGGAAGGAGAAGAAGCGGGAAAGGTGTGACGGAGGGGGAGGGAGAGAGGAGGAGGAGGGGGGGGGGGGGTGGGGGGGTAAAGAAGAGCTTTTGAGGCGCCTGAACAAGGTGTGGCACTTGGATCGTTGAACCGCTCGCTGGGGGGGGCCAGGGGAAGACCGGCAGAAAAAGGATAGAGGAGGAGGGAGAGAAGAGGTGAAAGAAAGGGGGTGGGGGAGAAAGGGGGGAGACGGAGTGGGAAAGAGAGTGGGTGAGCGGGCGTGCGTATCGGCATCAACGAGGCGAGATAAGAATTCGACAATAACCAGTTTCTGGCCGTCGAACTTCCCAAAAGGTGAGGTGAGAAACGTGTTAGGGGCCACCATACCATGACTTTTGAGGCGCCTCAAAAGTTCACAAAAGGTGAGGTGAGAAACGTTTTAGGGGCCACCATACCATGCTATACTATCCGAACAAAAACCCTTACTGCTGGTTCTGCTCCACGCCTGCTCAGACCCGCGGATCTGAATATCTTGAATCCTGCTTTGAAAAAGACCCTCAATGTTGACCTAATTAGGCTTCTTACTATTTGTTCTTCTCCTGGTGTTTCTTCACCGGCTGCTGCGACCCGCGTCGCAATAACTTCTGAGTCGACACAGAAAAAACCCTCACCGTTGACCTAATTAGGCTTCTTACTATTTGCTCTTCTCCGGGTGCTTCTTCTCCGGTTGCTGCGACCCGCGTCGCGGAGTTTCTAGCACCATCCGTCGAAAGTCCTTATTGGACAAATTCGCAGATTCCGCCGCCTTTCCCGGCGTGGATTCCGGGGCACGCTCCTGCTCCTTCTTCCGGACCGGCCGCGGCGGCGGCGGAAGCGGATTGGAGACCGGCATGTCATCGTCGCTATCAGCCATCGTGACGAAATGAACACCGAGACCTGAAAGATACTCTTTTAGCGAATGGAATATGAACGGAGACGTCGGTTTGTGAGACTTCAAGCTTTGGGCGTGGAACAACGACGAGGCCAATTGGTGAATAGATATGCAAACCACATGGTTGGGCACCCACTATAAAGTACCCCTATAATCTACAACACAACATTAGAGGGGGGTGCTGAACATCAGGGGGACATGAAAGAAGTATTTGTTTAGCACTAGAATTAAGCAAACACATTTGGGGAAACGTTAATGTCAAACATTTGTCATGCTGTTATGGATAACGGTAAGATCCTAGGCAGTGTCAAGCTCTGGCAAGATCATTTGGTGTCAGTCTCCTCCGAAAAGAACTAATATAAAAGAAGCATATTTTGCCTCATGTTCAATTGTTGTCGTCGTTGCTGTCCTTATTGTGGTCGTTGTTGTGGCGGCATTCTGTTCATCGTTGTGATAGTCATGGTCGTTGTTGTGGCCATGGTCATCATTGTTTTTTGTCGTTATTCTCATCATTATGGGTGTCATCGTTACCGCCGTCGCCGTTTCCTTCTTTGTCGTCGTCGTCGTCGTTCTCACTGTCACCACCACCGCCGTCGTCGACGCCGACGTTGTTGTCGAAGTTACTATCGGTGTTGCTGCCGCGGCCGTTGCGCTGCACTTCTGCTATTGTTTTGTTTTTTTGTTTTTTTTGCTGCCACCAATGTAGGTGTTGTTGTTGGTGCTACTGGTGGTGGTGCTGCCGTTGTAGCTATTGCATTCGTCGTCGCCGTCATCGCTGCCGCCGCGGCCTGTTAAGATAGTGATTAACTTAAGAGGCTCGAGGGTTTGTGTATAACGAGATTGACGAGAGGACCATGAGAGAGATTAGTAAAAAAAGGTTCAATAATGTGAACGAGATACAAAATTTTACCATAGGAAATTGTAGTGGTGCACCACCTAAACATGTCAAAATTACTATACTAAACTACAGCTATAGGCAGTTACACACATATTTCAACACTCCCCCATAACTGCCTGCAGCAGGAGTTTGTGCAGCAACACATCCTAGATGGGTACACCACGAACGGAGAAAGCAGCAACAGTAGGCAAGAGCAGTGGCAACCGGTGCAATTGTGGTGGATTCAGCTGCACCAACCCCTCATCCAAGGTAAAAGCAGAAGAAGCAGATCGCCTGGAGAGCGGGTGCATGTGGCGGCAATGTGCGGCGGCACAGCAGGGCTCAACGGCAGCACCTGCCACCCAACAGCAGGAGACAGCAAAAGAAGCAGCAGTTTGAGGCAGGGGAGGCAGCAGAAGGTGACACGGTAGCAGCGGGTGGTAGCTGCAGATGCCTAGCTGACTTTCGCCACCACCTCACACTCCCCCCAACAGCAGCATGCGCGACAGTGGGAGAGAGAGGAGGAAGGGCGGCTGCTGGCTTGGCGGAATCTCTCTCGCCACCCCCTCAGACTCCCCCCCTTACCCCGCAGCGACAGACACAGCAGGGAGCGAGAGGAGAGAGGAGAGCAGCAGCTGGTTCCTGCGTGTACACTCTCGCCACCCCTTCACCCTCCCCCAACAGCAGCACGCTCGGCATTAAGGCGCCAGGCGTCGCCGCAGGCGCTGGCGCGGGCTCTGCTGTTGTCGCAGGAGTCGTAGTTGCAGCTGCAGCAGGAAGGACAGGAGCAGCAGCGGGGTCGACAAAAGGGTGGGCGAGACCAACTACATGCGTGCTATGAGAGGCCTACTGAAGATCCCCAATTGATCCTAGGGAAGGGTTACAGGCATGTCGGCCTGGGGGGTTATGGGCGCACTCACCCGCTACACAAACAAGCCCTTTTATCCTAGTTATTAGTGGATGGGATTTTGACATGGCATCAGAACGAAGGTATCGGGCTTGAATCACGGTGAATGCCCCTCGGGCATCCCTGTGCGGGGGAGTGTCAGAGGTCCACTGGAGATCCCCGATTGATCCTAGGGAAGGGTTACAGGCACGTCGGCCTGGGGGGTTATGTTTTTGTGAACTCACCCGCTACACAAACAAGCCATTTTATCCCAATGGTTAGTGGCTGGGATGTTGACACATGCGACGGGATGGCGCGTGACGGGGCAGTGACGAAATAGGCGACGCGGCAACGAACAGGGCCAGAGGGGTTCGTCGAGTCTGTCATGGCCGTCACGACCGTTACGGCCGTCACGCTGAGTGCCGTGAAGGTCATGCGATTGGGGGCGCAACGGAAGCAGCGGCGTCTAGGCGCCATGCCACAACAAAAACAAGCGGCTTAGGAACGTGATAGCTCCGTTACCATGTTAAGATAGTAATTAACTGAAGAGGCTCTAGGGTTTGTGTAAAATGAGAGTGACGAGAGAGCCATGAGAGAGATTAGCCAAAGAGTTTCAATGATGTGTAGGAGATACAACATATACCGTAGGAATTTGGAGTAGTGCACCACCTAAACAGTTTGTAAATACTACACTAAACTACAACTACATGCAGATACATATATGTTCCAACACCGCCGCCGCCGTCGTCGTTGTTGCTGCTGTTGCTGTTGCTGTTGCTACTGTCGTTGTCCCTGTTTTCTTTGTATATTCTTTTTTTGTTTTTCCCAAGCTAAACATATGGCAAAGTAAAGGCGTTACAAAATGTTGATATAGCCGAAGGATCAAGTGAATAGAATAAGTTTGCTGAATCTAGGAGGAGACAATAAAGTCATTGTAGTGACCTTGTTGGATAATAGTTGAAGGAGAACAAGATGATTAAATATAGGAATACAAGGTGTTTAAATAGTAAACTAGCTAGCCATATATTCTAAGGGGTACATTCCCTTATTAACTGTATTACATAACTACAGTAACCATGACTTTTGACTTTCTCGACAGTTACCATGTTGCAGCAAACAATTGGCGTGCGGTTACTGGGTGGTCAAGGATCACGACCGTTCAGCTTCTTAGATATGCCATGATGATATATTGGTGTACATCATTCTGTCACAATCATTTTGGTCAAATGATAAACCATTCGCGCCGTTATACAGGGAACCGTGACCCTCTCTGACCCTCTCGCGTCGTTCCATCAGCAGCACTCACTCCTTCCCTGCAACATCCCTGATTTCTTGGACTTCTCATAAAATAGCGACTCGGGATCTTCAATGGGTACGTGGCGCATGTGCGTTACTTACGATACGTCGTTTCATTCCTCGAAATCAGCGGTTCATTCTTGATCTGTTCTGCCACGTCAGGGAGACACAAACACAAGAGGTTGGTGAGATGTACTCTGTTCCAGTTCGGATGAGTCACCTCACCAACAACTTCCCACAACTTCGCGTCGCGTCGCCTGGTGTCTCGAAGGGGAATGAATGGCCGTGCTGAGCCGAGCGTGTGAAGGCCAGCCTCCAAGTCCTATGATTGGCTGGTCGAAGCTTCTTCGTTCTTCCTCGCCAGTGTGTGCTACTTTCTGCGGCGCGCAGTGGCAAGGTAGTTCTCATCTGAACTTGCACGTTACGAGTGTACAAAAGATATAGGTGTACGGAATGGAGACCATATTAAAAATTTCCCTGGGACGACCCTGTGCAAGAGTTGGGCTTTTAAAACCCTTTGTTTAATTCGATATTCATCCCAGACCCAGGCGGAAGTGCCTGATTTAGTAACTATATATATTTGTGAGGAATGAGCAGGGGTTTTGTTTGGGCTGGTTCGGTCGCACTGGCACAAGCCATGTGTGTGAGTGAAAAGGGATGGTCAATCCAGCTCCCTCCACTATCACACGCTCGACAAGGAGAGGCACCTAGAACCGTCACAATCAAACGCATCAACCAATTACGAAACTCCGTGATGGGTCGCTGGCATAGTTAGTTTCCCATGCCACCGTCGGGTCAGCCTTTTCCCACCACACCTATGCCGTTGCAGATGCTAGACCACCAAACCGAGCTAAAATAGCGGCGGTCACGGGCAAGATGGTCATTCCTTTTTCGCCCTGATCATACCGTAGTTTAGTATTTCTTTCCGGTATTTGCCCAAAACTTCTCGTTTCGCTCCCTCACAACTGATCCCTTGCCCGTTTCATATATGTCTCTATCCGAACCTTCGACAAATGAAAAAGATCTTCGTTCAAATAGAAATTTCGCGAACACCCCGAAATGCCAGCCAATCCGGACGCAGGAGTCCTTCCCGCAATGCCCGAGGTAACGAAGCTCAAAATTATTGCTGGTCAGTTCAGCAACAACCCGAACCCGAATGACCAGCACCAACCAATCAAGCTGGCGCGCCTCTTGCATGGCCGAAATTTCGTTTGTTCCCATTCGCCAATTCGTCTTCGTTTGACACGATAGCGACTCCAAGTCTGACGCAGCTTTCAAACTTTTGCCTGCTCGGTGGTGCTTGGTTGGTGCTACATTTCGTCGAAGTCCCTTACCCCCCTCCTCCCCTCCCAAAACCCCCCACCCCTCCCTGTGCAAAATTCACATATACTGTACGCCCTGTCATTTCCCGCTTCGGCGGCCATCACACAAATTTCCTCCTCACTTTCCCCCCTTGCCTCCCCCACACCAACCCAGCCCCCAACACGGCTCCGCTTGCTTGTCTATGTTGATAAAGCCCCTCACTCAGCTTGCTATTGCAGCTTCATCATCTGGCTTGCTCGTTGCCGTGGCACCACATCATCCTCCTCTCATGCCGTCGTCACGAGCAACCCATCAAGAACGAAAAGGCTCGCGAAGTACCTTCTGCTGATCTCTCTCACCCCTATCCTCATCGCGTCGCTTCGTACACTCTTTGTGAAAGCGCGAGCACTTTATCTGCCAGCCTGTGCGCGCCAGCGTTTTTTTTTTTTTTGCGCGAACGGACCTCTACAGCAGCAAGAACTGTCTCGCGATACGCCGTCGTTTTCTGAAAGTACTGCGAGCGCGGTGTCGCCTCGCTAGGCATCCTCTATTTCCAGCAAGGCTTCGTCTCATAAGATCTTCACCATGTCGGCTACTTCCGTGCACTCGCCGCTGAGTAGCGGGACGTACACGCTATCAGCAGACTCATTAATAGCGGGAACTCTCTCCGTAGCCGCGGTTCTTCTGCCAATCCAGTTCGACAGGATGTTCTGCCTCGTCTTGTTCGCAGCGCTCCTGCTGCTGTCGCTAGCGTTTCTCAGACGGTCCTCGAGTCGCCAGAACGAGCTTTCGCTCGAGTGGGAAACCGGCCGGCGAAAAGCGAGGCAGCCGTTTAAGCGGTCTCCGGAATTTTACGTGAGTAATTCACCTTTTGCCATGCTTCTCCGCCAGTTTATTTCCTTCTATTCAATGTCGGTGTTCGTTTTGTCGCTTGTGCAAGGACCACGGTGACGTCCTTTTGTCGCTTGATGCTCTTGTTTTGTTTCACGCTCCCTCGCTTTAGTGCCGTCCTCCCATTTCTTGTCCGTCAGTCGTGAAGCAGACTAGGAGTGACAGGGCGCGAGCCGAGACAAATAGCTGTCTGGCCTTGTCCGCTCACGACTTGCAAAGGGTCGGTCTATCACGCTTTTTACTTCGCAAGGTCATGGAGTATCTCGCTCAATTTGTGCTCGAACTCCTGTTGCCAGAGAAAAGGGAAAAAAAGAAAAAAAGGGTGCTAGGTCGTAGCAATATTCGTACTGTTGTATCTTTCTTTATTTCTGGGTGACACAATATTCAGCTGTTTTATATCGTTTGTCCCTTCTGCCGCCTTTTTCCACTTCGCAGGAATACTACGGTGTGACGTCATCAGAGGACTATTTCATCAACTCGCGAGGCGTCGAGCTCTTTACGAAGCAATGGCTTCCCATCGACGGTCGTTTGCGCGGCGTAGTCTTTTACTGCCACGGCTACGGCGACACCTGCTCGTACGCGTTTGAGGACGTCGCGATACGGTTGGCTGCGTCCGGTTACGCAGTAGAATCGCTGGATTACGAAGGGTTCGGCCTGTCTGCGGGACTGCACGGGTTTATTCCGCGATTTGACAACCTCGTGGATGACGTCACGGAATTCACTGCGTCGCTGAGAGGTGCGTGAGCATAATTTGGGAAACTTGGGACGCTGAGAATTGAAGAAAAGGGAAGAACGGTGTCCTTAATTGCACGCAAAATCATCATTTTAACCCAATTGGGTACTCACCTCGACTGCCTTCCCACTTCGCGCTCAATTTTGTGCTCACGTCGCATCCCCCCTTCTGTTGTCCTCGTTTTCAATTTTCACCTCTACGGTCTACCACAGCTCGGCCGTCCCTCGCGCATCTTCCGTTCTTTCTCTACGGCGAGTCCATGGGTGGAGCAGTGGCGCTCCTCACGCATCTCCGCCAACCGTCCTCGTGGCAAGGCGCAATTCTCGCCGCTCCCATGTGCAAGATCGCGCCAGAGATGATGCCCCCGAAGCCCGTCGTCACCACGTTATCCTTCCTCGCGAGTATCTTCCCTCGTGCCAAGCTGGTCCCGACCAGAGAAATTGCGGAGATTGGGTTCCGGGATCCGGTCAAGAGGGCCAAATTGTGTGAGAATCCGGTGGGGTATGGCGGGAAGCCGAGGCTACAGACGGCGCTACAGATGCTGAAGGCGACGCAGCGGATTGGCCGGGATCTGGATAAGGTTTCGCTGCCGTTCCTCTTGATGCACGGTGCAGCAGATGCGGTGACAGATCCGTCAGTCAGCGAGGCGCTTTTCCAGCAGGCTTGTAGCGGGGATAAGACTTTTAGGCTGTACGAGGGGTGCTGGCATGGGTTGACAACAGCAGAGCCTGATGACGTAATTGCAGGAATTCTGGACGATATGGTTACCTGGTTACATGCGCGGAGCATGCACCCGAGCCTCCTGCCGAGTTTCCGGCTTAATGCATATGCTGCTGCGGCTGCAGCAGCTGCTGGATGGTCCTCGGGTTTGGCTTCTCTTTCTGGTTCAACCACCCCTATGTCATCTGGAGCTGTCTCACTAGGGATAGGGGGAAGAGTAGATGCAGCAGCAGCACGAGGGATGGGAGGGGATGTGTCGAGCAAGGATAAGCATTTGCCATGGCATTTGCTTCCCTTTGATGCTGACGACGAGTCGTCCAGCACAATAACCAGCTGAGGCTAATCAGGCGAGGCTAATTAGCTGATGCAAGTCAGCTGCCTGAGGAGAAGGATAACTTCAAGTCAACTTGAATGAAGATTCAAGACCTAAAGGGCCATGGCTGGCCACTCTAGGAATATTCATTTCATTCAAGCAGCCGATTATTACGGCAGTTGCAGCTATACTCCAAGGTCAAGCATCTGACATGTTATACAGTGAACTTTGTAGGATTGTTCTCCGACGCGCTTCTTGTGCTTCAGAGTGCTGATCAGGGCTAATTTTTGGATTTGACATACCCTTATAATCAGTGTACCTGTAGCTCGAAAAACTGATTATCAGTGTGACCCCCTACGAAAAATCTTTCCTGTCAGGGTTTTCCTAACTTTGAAAAAATTTACCCTGTCACACTGTAAACCTGGCCAATAGTGGCCCACTTTGTGCCAGCACAGGAGTTGTCAAGGCCGAAATTCCGGCCTCGACAGTTGCCTTGGTGGAATCCCAGGTTACGGGAAAGGGGGGGGGGGAAGGGTGTACCGGGGGAAGGGGGGGGTAGGTTACGCGTTACAGGGTAGAACTTGCTACGAGAATTGGAAACCGTTGGGCATCAGTGTGCCTTACACAAAAAAACTGACACATCAGGGTAAATCAATCTCCCCAAAAAAACACCCTAGGCCATCAGTTTGACCCCCAAAAACCACCCTGATAATCAGGGTATCAGGGTGATTTACCCTGATAAAATTTGCCCTGGTGCTGATATGATGGTGATTGTATAGTTGCTCATTTCATTTTTGAAGATGATGGATAGCTTACTAACATACTTTCTTGGCTCAGGGCTCATATCCACAAAATGGTGGAAGGTAGGGTAGCCACAATACTAAATGAGACGTGAATGTCCAGTTTATTATTAGACTTAATTTTCTGATTGCAGTTCGAAACGCGTGATTGTACACTCGTTGACCCTTGTTTACTACTTCGGGGGGCTCACAAACTGTACCTTTTGTCCTCCGAGAATTGCTGAGTTGGGCAGACGACAGCTGGCAGATGTTGCGGCAAATATCACCTGTCTTTCATGGACACGTCATGGAATGACGCGAAAAGCTGGCGATGCCACCAGAGCAGAGTCTTTTTGACCAAGGACCTCTGACCAGACCAAAGATGCTGTGATGAGGGAGACGCACCAAAGCAGTTCAACTGGTGTGGAAATATCCTTCCATGCCGCCGTGGCATGTCAGAACCGCAACATGTGGCCACGGAAGAGGCTCGCTAACCAAAGAGGTTCGTATCCATGACTGACACAATCGCGTTTCCTTTTCGAGAATCAGCGCGCTATGTTTCCGCACGTATGCGAAATTCTCGAGATTCCGTGCGATTATGCGAGGATCATCCTGGGCATGTGAGGATTGCTAGCCTCGCTGTCCCACGCCCAGCAGAATCCTTCATTCTGCTGCAGAAATCCCTAGGCTGGCAAGGAGTTCCCTAGGCAGATTGCAGCACCGCGACGGCTAGTTTCTTCAGAATTCTGACGGCGTTTCATTGTCGTCTCCGTCACTCACGGATCCTTGGCACTACCTGGTCCCGCTACTCCTGCTTTACGCCAGTGACTAACTACGATCCACCTAAGTTAACCCGTTTAGGGACTAGCGGTTTCGTCATCGCTCTCTACTTCAGTCAAAGCTTCAGCCATTCCCTGGTTGATGCCAACAGCGGCCGACATGGATGCAACCGCTATCAGTGCACGCCTGCCGGAGCTTTCCACCTCCTCCGGCATGCACGCTCGCTCGAGGGTTTCGTGTTGCTCCTTGACTTCGTCTGAGTTCGCTGGCGCACGCCTTGCCCCGTTTAGAGTGAACTCGCTTTCTTCTAATAAGCCCAGAGCAGCACCGGTCCTCGTCACCGCGAATATGAAGAGGAACCCGAAGCGACTCAAATACGCGGGAGGCTCACGGCCGGTCAGTGTGGTTTTCCTGCTCAGCTTGTACGAAAGATGCAAAAAATGCGGCTAAATGATTTCAGGGATTGGAGAGGAGGCTAGGAGAGGTGAGGGAGGAAGTGGTAAATGGTAGCTTTGAGGAACAGAATGAATAACCGTGGAGAACGTACAGAAGTTGCCTCCGGAGCTGTCGATGCCACCTATTACGAAACGCGAGTTCGTTCAGATTGGAAAATGCAGTTTTTGTTTGTGCTTCTTGACAGGTCCAAATGTTCATTCTGAATTATTTACGCCTTTGTCAGTGTAATGTAGCACATTATTTATACTAGCTGTGAAGTTATGGTTATGGTTATGGTTACGGTGTGGCGACCCCTCATTCGTGCTCGCTAACGGCACGTTTCTGTGTTGTTTTCGCCGGATGTTTGGATGACAAGCAACAACGTGGCTCTTGGGTCGACTTCAAAGTGATTATTGACAATGAAGTGAATGTGGTGAAGTATTTCCTTTCTTTATCCTAACAGCGTGTCTCCGTATTGTTTGTTTCCGCGTCCGCCCATGATGTTAGGCCAACGAAGTGGACGTGGTGACCGTTGACCCGTCAGGATCTGATGCCTCGTGGAAACTCCGTGGAATTGCGGATTTGATCAAGGAAGGTGGCGTTGGGCTCATTCCGACTGACACTGTGTGAGCCCATCATCCTGCCTGTGTGTGATGTGGTGGTATGTGGTGGTATGTGGTGGGATGTGGTGGCATGTGGTGGCATGTGGTGGGATGTGCTGGTATGTTGTGGGATGTGCTGGTATGTGGTGGGATGTGGTTGGATGTGGTGGTGTGTGGGGTGTGGTTGGGAGGGGTTGCGGAAAGCATGCATTTTGTGGCTCTGAGTATGTGGGCATGGAGTGAATGGTGTGAAATAATGAGGAGGAGGTTGCTCGGGAGGCTGATTTTGGAGGTTGTGGAATGCTGTACAAGAGTCTCGAAGAACGCAGCTGAATGACACATTTCAACCCATTTGATTCAGTCTAATCCTGATTGGTGCTACTTGGTCTGGAGTAACGCCAGTTGCCTGGCATGTACTCGTTCCATCCATCCACACCGCCAACCCCTCGCTCCGTGTACTTGCACCACGTGTTGCTTCCATCCATGCGTGCAGATATGCCCTGGTTTGTGACGTCAAGAACCGAGACGCCATTGACAGGCTGTACCGGTACGCACTAGACTCATTGGTAGACTCTTTTGACTCATCAACGGGTCTTTCAATGACCTCTGCGTGTAAGCCCATATCCTTAGCGATTTGTTCTTGCAATCTTTTTCTGGCTACGAGGCCATTAATCTCTGTTTTGTTTTCCCGTTTGATGTTGAAGCCATCCTTCCTTTTCACGACCTCCAAAATTCCTTTTTCCCGAGAATGCTCAAAAACCAACTCCGGAATCCCAGCACTTGGTATTTGAGAATTCTCAAAAGCCAACTCGTCTGATCTTGAAGCCATCCTTCCTTTTCACATGTAGACCTCCAAATCTCCCGTTGTCTTAATTTCTTGTGCTAGGCTAGTACAATATTGCAGGTTGTGCATGAATTCACATGGTCATATGCTAACTTCTTCCTTCACATGTCGTCTTTGTTTGTTGTTTCTCGTCTCTTTGCAGCATCAAGCAGTTGGACCCCAAAAAGGTGATTGATTTTTCTTTCCTCACCAGAAGTCGAAAGTTTCTTCCTTCAGTCGTCATACCACGTCAGTCGAAAATTGATTGTAATCATATGCCTCTCACAAATCCTTCCTTTCTCCCTCATGCCTCTACACCTGCGTGTTTCCCGATGGTTCATCACGTTGTTCTCCATTCCACCGTGTGTTTCCCTTCGCCCTTGGTCCCCACCCTCTTTTTCTTGCAGCCTCTGAGTATCCTCTGCCGCAATTTCCAAGACATTGACACCTACACGTTGGGCTTTCCCCGTGGCAACGGTCATGGACAGACAAACATTTTTCGGGCTGCCCGACAATGCCTACCTGGACCTGTACGTCGTTTCCTGCAGGCATGTGGCTACAGTGGCTAGTGTCTATGCGTTGGCAAAACATTGTCACTTTAATGCGTCCCATCACAATTAGTCTTTCCTCCTCTCACCTTCACATCACACATTCCATTGCGAGCAAGGCCATGCCGAAGCAGAGCACTACTCTCTTATACCACCTTCGTTTGCTTCCCGCCCTCTCTCTCCCTCCCACATCCCCTCTCCCTTCCGCCTATCCTGTCACCAGTACACGTTCATTCTCAAGGCGAGCAAGGCCATGCCGAAGCAGTGCACAACGTTCGGCGGCAGTGCAGTGGCGCACTGCGCGCCCAGGAAGAGTGTGGGGGTGAGAATGCCTCTGGATCCCATCTGCCATGCTCTGCTCGAGCTGTTGGACGACCCTCTCCTCTGCACCAGGTCAGCTGCGACACTCCACATTGTTTATTCACTTTCTGGGCGTTTCTAGAGGCAGTGCACGACGTTTTGCGGCAGTGCAGTGGCGCACTGCGCGCCCAGGAAGAGCGTGGGGGTGAGGATGCCTCTGGACCCCATCTGCCACGCCCTGCTCGAACTCCTAGACGACCCGCTCCTCTGCACCAGGTCAGCTTCAATGCTTCATTGCAATAACCTATCTGAGGCATCGAAATAACCTACCGAGGCACGCATGGAAGTAAGGCACTGCCCGCCTACAAAGAGAATGTCTTGAGGGTGCCTCTTGTTTCCGTGGTTCCACAGTGTCCTTTGTTGCTCCATCAATTGCCAGTCGCTGGAATCGAGGTGAATTTTTGGGCGCAACAAAATTCACCTCAATGCATGAGGAACGGCATGATGTGGGGATGCCTCTTGTTTCCGTCGCTCCACAGTGTCTTTTGTTGCTCTGACAATTGCTAGTCACTGGAACCCACACCAGGTGAAGGACATCTGACCTGGCTCAAGAGTTACCTTACCTCTGTGTCGTCCCACCCTTTCCCCTCCCATGGCCCGTCATACCCTTCCTCCTCCCTTCTATTCCACAGCGCCACCAAGAGCTCGGATGATCGCTGGTTGTTGGACCCCTCAGTGGTCGGACTCACCTACCGTTCTGAAGATGGCTCAGAGGTGAGTGCTTGTTATACGTTCATTCTCGTACATGTTATCTCTGCATATATCTCTTCACCTCCCGCCAAGATGTGGTTCTGAACGTGTCATTGTAGCTGCAAGCCACCAAGTAATCCCCCTTTTTCTAATGTATTTCCTCATTGGTTGCAGGGTGTGGATTTCATTGTGGATGGAGGCGCTCGCATGCCAGAGCCATCTACGGTGGTCGATATGACTGGAGACAGGCCAGTGCTGCTGCGGCGAGGACAGGTAAACATGGTCCACATGTCACGTGGGAGTTCGTGGGTGATTCTCTTGCCACCCATTGGTTGCCTATCCAGGTTATCTATAGTGGGCCTCGTTTTATTTAGTTTGTGCTCGTCCTAAGTTTGTTTTTTTGGCTCATATTTGCAGGGTGAGGTGGAGGACTGGATGCTAATGGAGGTCCATGATTCCTCAGAAACGGCTGCTGCAGCGCTGATTAACCCCAACGGGAAAATAAACCCATATGCCGTGAAGTAGAGTTGTTGATGCAGGACGTTATAGAAATCATTGGGAATCGGGTGAGGCTAGTAGGGGTCACATGTCCCGGAACATGTGTGTTATTATTGAATAAATCTGCTGCTATATATTGTGTGAAAACCTGGGAAATAGCTCAGGTGCCGTGCTTACATCGAGGTATTTCACAACCGAACTTCCCTCCCCAGCACCTTTCACCGCAGCTTTCGCTGACAGCCTCCGCACTTTTTCTCCTCCCCTTCCCCCGAGTCTCAGACTTCGGCGCGTTGCCAGACCACCGCATTCCCCGTCCCCCTCCCGCCAGTCGTCAGCATGACGTTTCCTCCTTTCTCATCCAGTTCGTGTGTTTCCCGCCGTTGTCATTCTCAATAACGTGCTAAGCGGCCACATTCCTAGGAACCCCTCGTAACCGAACTGAATCGTATAGAAACCGCTCTTCTTTTGTGAATGGCTGGATCTTGCTTGGATCTGCTGTGCTGCGGTATTCCTTTTCCGGATCACTGAGATTCACCATTTTCCCTCGTTATCCGCTCACACGGTGAAGAGAGAAAAGGTCCAGTCCACTAATTCACCGAATCGGAGGTTCAACTTGGCATGGATCAGTACCCGAGCCTCAGCACGTGGGTTGTTGGAAGGCGGTTCCACGCGCGTGTGCAGTGCAATGCGGGAATGCGAGTGGTATTAGTGAGGGAGCGATCCAATGTGGCAGACGGAAACGCCGTTCAAGTGAGTGACTGTTAAAAGCCTGTCGTCAGTGATAGTGTGACGTCAGCGTTACCCTGCCGTTAGCAGCATTGTGACGTCAGAAGCGACGGTGATATCCAGACTGCAGCGAGCCTAGTCGCTCGGTGTAATAAGAGCGAAGTTGCCAGTTAACGAGAGATTCAACGTGACAGATGTAAAAGCTATCCGAGTTTGCTGACAAGTGAGCCATATGATGTGCTGGGAAGCATTCAGCAGAACTGTTGTTTTGATAGGTCATTAGTGTGAGAATCACTTGGTAGCAGCAAGCAGTGCGAGTCCTGAGAAGCAAAGCGAAACCTCAGACGCAGATGCGCGATCGTCTTTGTCATGGTAAATGTTAACCCCTTGTTGTTCTTGTTTGTGTTCTTGTAAATACGCCGTCACATCAGGTGGTAACTATACTGGATGACGGATCGGCCAATGGAGGCAGCCAGATCAGCAACGGCAAGGATGTGAGTGTAGAGAGGAGCAAAACGAGATGGTGGGAAGCTGCTGGAAGAGGAGGATGGAGAGGAAGGGGGAGTCCAAGTGGAAAGGGAAAGGATGCCATTGGCGCTAAGGGGACGCGAGGAACGGAGAGAGGAAGCGGGAAGTCGAATGTGAGAGGAAAAGGTAGAGGAGGGGGGACCCAATCAACAGAGAGCGGATCAGCAACGAGCCAATCAGGAAAGCCAGGCCAACGCGCAACAGCGGGGACAGGGGAGAGGCAGTCGGCAGTGGGAGAAGCGATTGGTCATCTGTCAAGAGCAGTGGCACAGGTTCTAGCTCCAGTCATGGACCAATATGCTGACGTCAGGTTTGAGGTGAGCTTATGTGTGGATCCAGGTGAGAGTAAGTGTGAAAGTCAAGGATGAAAAGGTCAAACTTCCGATATTTGTGGCTTTCCAGCATGAGCTTATTTATTGGCTTAGTACGATATTCTTTTATTTTCACTGGCTTCCTGACTTGTCATTATTCCTGTTGCTTGTTGGCTGGTTAATTTACTGTTGTTTGTTTGTGTTGATGCTCTTTTATTTCAGGGCGTTGTCACCTCTACCCCATCATCCCCTCTCGCCCGTGTCCTCGTCGAAATTACTCCGCTCCTCCACCACACACCTTCGCCAGACACATCCAGCCTCCCTCCCCCAGCCAACTCCTTAGAACCAGCAGCCATCCACACGCCTTCCCCAAACGCACCCAGCCTTCCCCTTCCAATCAGCTCCTCACAACCAGCTGTCATCCACGCACCTTCCCCAAACGCACCCAGCCTTCCCCTTCCAATCAGCTCCTCACAACCACCTGTCATCCACGCACCTTCCCCAGACACACCCAACCTTCCTCCCCCAACTAGCACCTCAGAACCAGCAGGCCCACGTGGCACCTGCGTGCCTTCTGCTTCCAGAGCCTCATTTCTCTCCACGTGGCAGTTTGTCATAGATGCCACGCCACTAGTCCAAAAGCGCGTGCGGACCCAGGATGATGTGTTAGATCAACATGGCGATGTGGGTCGGCAGGCAGGTGGAGTAGGAGAGGTGGAGGGGGAGGGAGGTGAAGGGGATATGGAGGGGTGGGGAGGAGGAGGGGAGATGCGTGTGAAGAATTTCAGCGTGATGCTGAGCACTGTTCTGGAATCAGATGCGCACCTCTTTCTCCCCGAGGAAAGGGAGCTGCTGGGTACGTTGGTGGATGGATGAATGAGGCTTGTGGCATGTGGATGGGAGGGAGGGGAGCGAGAGAGGAATTTTAGCGTGATGCTGAGCACTGTGCTGGAATCAGACGGGCACCTCTTTCTACCCGAGGAGAGGGAGCTGCTGGGTGTATGGATGGATGGATGGATGGATGGATGGATGGATGGATGGATGGATGGATGGATGGATGGATGGATGGATGGATGGATGGATGGATGGATGGATGGATGGATGGATGGATGGATGGATGGATGGATGGATGGATGGATGGATGGATGGATGGATGGATGGATGGATGGATGGATGGATGGATGGATGGATGGATGGATGGATGGATGGATGGATGGATGGATGGATGGATGGATGGATGGAGGGATGGATGGATGGATGGATGGATGGATGGATATGGATTGAGGGACGGACGGACGGACGGACGGACGGACGGACGGACGGACGGACGGACGGACGGACGGACGGACGGACGGACGGATGGATGGATGGATGGATGGATGGATGGATGGATGGATGGATGGATGGATGGATGGATGGATGGATGGATGGATGGATGGATGGATGGATGGATGGATGGATGGATGGTGCCTTAAAAAACCCTTCTGTTACTGTCTCGCATCTACATCCGTCAACTTTCCATTACCTTCCGTTCTTCCCTTCTACCGTCAACTCAACCCCTCCCTCGTCCCTACCCTCGCTCCTACCCTCGTCGTTACCCCCGCACCTTCCAGGAGCTTTCCAGGTGCTCCCTCCACCAGCACAGTATGTCTTCGTGCGGATCTTTCTTCGAAAAGGTAAGCCTGCCACCCCTGTCCTCTCCCCACCACCCTGCCAGGCCCCTAGCTCTTCCTCTTCTCTCTTGTCAACAACCTTCCAGACTCCCTACAAGCGGTCCCCCCTGACATGCCTGTTGCAAACACCACCTGTTGCAGTATCAAGGCACCTCAAAAGTCTCCCCCCTCCTCTCCCCACCACCCTGCCAGACCCCTAGTTCTTCCTCCTCTCCTCTCTTGTCAACAGGCCTCCGACTCCCTACGGACGGTCCCGCCTGTCATGCCTGCTGCCAACACCACCTGTTGCAGTTAGGGTTGAACTTTTGAGTTGACTCAAAAGTCAACTTTTCACGGGAGTTTCCTTCCACGTGACACGCCTGCTGCCTGCCAGTACCACCTGTTGCAGCAAGGGTTCCATCTAACTGTAGCTGTCTACTTCTCTTTCACCCCCACTCTGCTTCTCCCCCTTTCGGCCCCACCACCCTGCCAGGCCCCTGGTTCCTCCTCTCCTCCCTTGCCAAGTACCTTCCAGGGGTTCCCCCAGTCACTTCAGCAGCAGCAGCTGGAGGATCAGCCACAGCAGCAGCAGTGGAGGAGAGAGGGGGGTCAGCAGTCACTGCTCTTCACTCGGCTGTGCTCTCCCTTTACGGTCTGTCACTCCAGGATTTGAGCACAACCGCGCTCTCTCTCTCTCTCACTGCAGGATTTGAGCTCTTTCTTCGTTTTTTATGATTGATGTATATTCGCTACCACTGTGGACCCCACCGACACCACTCTTTTGTGAAATGAATTGATTGACTTTTGAGTCAACTCAAAAGTTTCTGCAGGATTCGAGCACTCTCTCTTTGTGTTTAATGATTGATTTATATTCGCTACCACAACCACTATGGACCCCACTCACCCCACCCTTTGTGAATCATTTCGATTCGTCCTGCCCTCTTTCAAGCGATCCTTCTCTCTTAAGAAAGCACAGTCTACTCTTAAGACATCTCAGAATCTGTACACAATCTCTCTCCATAATTCTCTTTCCAATGCTCCCTGTATATCTCAAGGTGACTTTTGAGTCGACTCAGAATTCATGCACAATATCTCTCTAACGCTTGTTATATATCTCAGCGGCAGGGTGGTGTGGGTCTGGGCTTGAACAGGACTGGCCTGAGGAGGAAGAAGGACCAGCTGCAGCAGCGTCACCAGCACCACCAGCAGCAGCAGCAGCAGCAGCAGAAGCGAGCAGGGTGCCAGCACCAAGTGCTTCAGACATGCCTTTGAGGTCTCCCGTGGACATGCTGACTCTCGAGGCAGCAGTGGCAGCAACCCCAGCATCAGCAGCGGTAGAAGCAAGCAGGGCGACAATACTGGCTGCTTCAGACATGCCTTTGAGTGCTCCCATGGACATGCTGACTCTCGAGGCAGCAGTGGCAGTGACCCACCGCCTGCTGCCCTTGCACCACCTGCGCTCCCTCGCCCTCTCCTTCAACCTCCAGGTCCGTTGCTCTCCTCCTCCTCAGGTGGGTTTTTGAATCTCCAGGTGGGCTTGGCTGCTCTTCTCCTGGGTGTTCAAGAGGTGCCCTGGTTGTGAGAGCAGCGAGCAGGGTGAGAGCAGCGAGCGTGACCATGCATGCTGTGACCATGCATGCTGTGACCATGCATGCTGTGACCATGCATGCTGTGACCATGCATGCTGTGACCATGCATGCTGTGACCATGCATGCTGTGACCACGCATGCTGTGACCATGCATGCTGTGACTTTGTGTGTGACTGCGTTTGCCATGAAAACTCGCTATACAATCAAGATTCTGTCGTCTT